TGTGTACACGTATCCATGACACGCGCACCTTGGGTCTAGTTCTCATGTGGCCCCGACTCATCCCCATCGCCGTCCCCATGGGGCAGCCCCCATGCTGTCATGCACTGCATGCTTGGCTCTCGAGCCCGACCGCGGCGGGGCGTGGCGCGGCACAGGCCAGCCATGGGGCCTTGCTCGTCCCTGGCCAGGCGGGCGCAATAAATGCCATGGCTCATGACCAATGACCATGGCCTCTCTGTGGGTTGCTGTTGGCGTGCCACGGACACACATAATTGGTTTCCACTAGCGTTCGGATCTTCTAGCGCATCCTATCGTGTGTCTCCGCGTGCGTGTGCGCTTGGCGGCGCCCTTTGTTCCAGCTGGGGCCCTCAGCTTGCCAGCAGCTCCCCTATCCGTGCAGGCCTCCCTTGTCACTGCTGCACCTACCCGCATGCAGCTGTCGCTGCTGTCTCCTTTCTGTCCACACGACCACAAGCAACCACCTGTTTGCTGCAGTGGGCACGGCACCACCATGACAGACGTCTGTCTATTAGCTGCGGTTACCTGGTGCGGGGGCGCTTACGTGGCAAGAAGGCTGATCACTATATATCACTTGTCATGCTGCCTGACTCTTCTCAAGTTGTGTTGTGTGGGAAGCGTGAACTGCCTTCACTTTGTGGGCGAACACCCCAGCCGCCATCGTGATTGCATGCCCCTTGCTTCTCATGCTGGCCCGGCTTGAAAGCCAAGCGCCGCCTCCTTGGATCGCCTACATACGTGCCCCAGCGCGTCACTCTGTGTCCCTCGGCGCTCCATCTGTTGTTGCATCTTTTGCTTCATCACCTTGTGGCTTCCCCACACTGACCAGCTACCCGGGTCAGGCCCACGCATGCCCTCGCTGGCTTGCCAGCGCCCCCCTGCCCACAAATGCAGTTGTTCATGCTTCCACGGTGTAACGGACTCCTGAACACTGGTTTCTAGATTGCTGGCAGGATTGTGTTCCTTGCAGCGGCAGCATTGACAAGCCTCGCTGATCCAGTGACAACTATGTGGCTATCACCGCAACAGCGGCCTGGCCAACTGGTCAACAGCACCGATATGGGCGTCACAGGCAACAAGACCAACTCCTAGCCCTCTGCCAGCGTCCACGGTTGAAAGGCCCACTGCTTACATGAAAACAAGATCAGTCATCACCAATCCTGCCCTCGCAATCCTTGACCTGCTTTGCCTGGCCGCCCTCGTCCCCAAATGCGTCCTGCTTATGAAGACTCGCCCCCATGCCACTGCTCGCCCTGGCAACCGCCGCGCCAGAAGCTGCACGCCCGGCGCGTATCAGCCGCCCCGCAAAGTCGCGGGTCCAGCGGCCTGCTGAGACCGCCCCTGCCCCCGCGCTCATCCTCAGCAGCTGCCACGCGCCCGGCGAACCCTCGTCAAGCTCCGCGCCGCCAATGATGGCGCAGGCGATGCTGCCCTTGCCGGCCTCATCAGCCCCTGGGGCCAACGTGCCACCCCCGCCCTCGTCACCTGCCAGTTGAGGGCTCAGTGGAGGAGCTCCATCTCGCGTGCCGCAGCCCTCATCTGCGGCCGCAATCGCACTCAGCACAGCGGCGCCGCGCCGCGCCAAGGCCGTGCGCGCGTCGCCGCCCCCGCTGCTGCTGCGCGTTGCAGCTGGCGCCTTGGTGCCGGCCATGTAGCCCCCAAACGGGAAGAAGTCCTCGTCCTCGTCATCACACAAAGGCTGAGCGGGCGGTGCGCCGATGCAATGCGGCTGCGACAGGAAAGGCTCGGGCTGCAGCTGTACGTCTCCGCGCAGGGCCGGCGGCGCAACAGGCGGCAAAAGACGCTGCGCCCAGCTCCTGCGACGCAGCGGGGCTTGATAACCCGGCGGCGAGTCCGGCGCATCGTCATTGTTAAGGTCTTGTTTATGAGCAGCCGCTGCCCCGTCCGCTGTCAAACCCCTGTTGCGGTTGTGTTGTACGCTGCTGCCGGCCCCGCTGGTGCTGGGCCAGGAGCGCAGCAGGGTCAATATCAGGGCCGCCGCCAGGGCGACATTACACGCCGCCAGGCACCACACGATGGCTGGCAGCCGCTGTACGGCTGCCAACGCCTGGCGGTGCAGGGCCCGACCCTGCACAACGACCATAGCGGTCGCTTGGCTGGATGATGGAGCCGCCGCCTGGCAACGCGCCTGGTTCACTGCAGCGGTGGCTCCAACGGACAGGGGCCAGCTGTGGGCGTAGCTTGGCAGTGGGCAAGCCCAGCTGTCATCACTGCCCTGCAAATCAAAGCCTGCCTTGTCAGCTTCTGCAGCTTCCCCAGGCACGCGATCCAGAAACTGCTGCGGCTCCCTCAAAGCCGCGTGTGCAGCCGTCTCAGGGTCGGGCGCCTGTCCATGGACAAAGCCAGCTTCGGCGAGCATACTAGCGCAAACGCCCACGTTGGCGCCCTGGCAGAGGGCGAGCAAAGGGGCCGGGGCGGAGCTCAGAACAGCATTGCCATCCTCCGTGCCTTGACGAACAGTTTTTGAAGGCGCCGACAGGCCTTGGTGGCCTGGGCTGCGGGGAGGGTGTGCGTCCGCAGAGGCGGTGATGCCCTCACTGCTGGCCTCGCGCTCCCGCCCTTTGGCTGCTGTGCCGAGCTGAGGCGCAGCTGCGGCAGCGCTGGCACTGGCACTGGCATTGGTAAGGGGTGGCATCTGGGTCACGGTGCTGCGCCTGATGCGCGTTGCCCGATTCATGTCCACATCAGCGGCGACAAAGCTGGCGGCTGCGGGCCACGGTTTGGAGTGCGGTCAAGAGCACGGCAAGTTTGAAGTGAGGGTTGACGGTGGGAAAGTTCATCAGGTTGCAATCAGCTGTGCCTGACAAAAACTGTTCCATGCAGTGTGGCAACAGGTTGCTGCATGCCAGATTGCCGCAGGGCCCTCCAATGAAGCTCCTACAAACATGTTCAAAGGAGCCAGCAATCGCTGCCTGCTCCCTCGCAATGGTGCGTGTAGGTTATGCAAGAATGCCCCCCTCACCTGGGTGTGGAGTCAGGAAACCCTCCCACGCGAACTCCGTGTCGCCAACAACCTGCTCCACCCTCAACGAGACCGCAATGACAGGCGGCAAGCAGTAAGAGGCAGCTGCACTGTATGAGGCGCTGCCGCCGCTGCGCGCATGCTCCAGAACCGGCGGCAGCGAGCCACCTGCGTCTGTCGGACCTGCTGTGCAAGATGGCACCACAGAGAGCGCGACGCGCCGCAGACCATCTGCGACGCCTGCCGCCCAGCACACCCGGCGGCTGGCTCGTGCTGCACAGGGCGCCGCGGTTGCAAGCGGAGTGTGCCCTGGCGATGGGCCCGCACGGGTTCGCAACCCTACTGCCACTGCTGAAATGGTGACACATTCAGGCTGTCTCTGGTGGTTCTCAGACCCTGCTGCTCGGCTCTTGCTCAATGTCAGCGGTGATATAGTGCTGCAGCGAGCGAAGTACAATAGGGGCTGCGGTGAGGGGCTTGATCGCTTCCAGTCATGCTGTCAAGATCACCATGCACCATGCATGCCATTGCCAGTGCCATACAAGGATCTTAACGCATAAAAACCCCTTACCTCAGAACAACCAGGTTCGTCTCGCTTGTGCAGGTGCCGTCGCCCCCGTTGATGCGCAGGGCGGCGCCTGCATCAGCATCTGCTGCCGCAGCGCTGAGGGTTGCCACCAGCACACAGGCCGCCACGAAAGAATTTAATGCCACCATATTAAAAATTGGATTTGTCACGTGTGCACAAGCTGCGAGAAGGCTGTCGCAAAAGCATCCCGAGGTTGTGATCGCAGCTTGGCTGTGCCACGGGCTGCTCGAGCTATATGGGTATGTAAAAATCAAAAATATTTAGCTTTTGCTGTAATGTATTGCTGCTTGAGCAACCTCGCAGCAACCGATCTAGCGCCAAAACACCGGCGCCATCAATGCTGCACCCTCCACTCACCACAAATAAGCTGAGAACGTAGCGGTGACGTGTATTGCGCACGTATGCTCGTGTAGGTTGCTGAGCATGTGGCACGGTGGTAGAAGCGGCAAACGGTAGCGATGGCAGTATTGTAGCGTCGCGGTACGGCCTGGTGTGGCACTGCTGGCCATTCTTCATACCTTATGAAGAGCGAGACCTGCTTGTGATGTCGCGGCATGGGAGGTGAGCGAGTGCATGGGGTTTGGTCTCATGTCCTGTGCAAGAAAGGGGGCCGACATCTGCCTCAGTATGGAAAGTCACAACTCTTGGTGGCATGTGGTGTTGATGCATGTCTTCGTCGTAAAGGCAGGAATCGTGAACCTGGCTAAAGTAAGGGCCCGCCAGCAGGGTGCCTCTGCTTTGGCCGGATCCGCCCAAGGGGCAAGGCGGCCCAAGATCCCCGCCCGGTGCCAGTAGGCAATTCGATGAACAGTTTCAAGAATGGATCATTGGGACAAAAGATGTAAGACTACCTTTGCTGTGATTGTTGCACCATCGGTGCGTCCCCGTGCTGAGAACATCCGAGTCGCATGCATGCCCCCAGCAGCCAAGTGCGGGGCAGCCCTTCAACCGCCGCGAGGAGATACTCTCGCGTGTTGTGTGTTTCCTCAGCATCAGCCTCAACAGCTCATAATGAATCATTCTGTGAGGGTTGCGGGCTCAAATGTTCTGGAAGGTGGCCGGCTGCTGCACGCGATGATGCGCTGCGAGGCCACAACTTGATCGATCGACAGAGAGAGCACGGGAGAAAGGTTTTGCCCTGACAGGACAGCCATATAGGGCCCTTGGAGGATAATCAGTCGCTTAAGCTCATCAATCACCGAGGTTGCCTGCGTGCCCCACACTCGTGTGGGCGCATGTGGGCGCCGTGAATTCCAGCACTGAGAGTTCGCCGCCTTTTTGTTCGCCGCCGCCAAACGTGCGCTGGGAGCCCCAGCCTACCGAAGCGAACAGGTAAGAAATCATACAGTTGTTCAGATAAGGCACGGAGTTCAGCGTTGTTTGCTTCGAGTGTCGAGCAAGATCAGCGAAATGGCGCCCAAGAAGGAGGAGCCCCCTGCCAAAGCAGCCCGCTTCGGGCGTGTCCGCAACAATTTGAAAATGGGAATATTGGGTCTCCCCAACGTGGGGAAGTCCAGCCTTTTCAACCTCCTCACGGAACAGGTGAGCATGAACGAGACAAGTGGTGTCGTAGCCGATCAATGACGCATATGCAGTTTATGAATGTGACGCATCCGAGCAGTTCCGTGGGCATGGTCGCTACCCGCGCTGCTTCCACACACCAGCCGCCGGAGCTCGTTACATCAATGCAGCGCCTGCACATCGCGCGACGCAGCTGCATCCATGTGACATGCGCAGCAGAAGTTGCAGTAATGCGTCGCGTGGAGAAGCCCCACAATGCATCATATGCATCCCCCATCGCTATCATCTCAGTCTGTGCGCCCCGTGACGGCGTTCCACCGCTCCTCCGCCCATGTCGCTTGCGCGTCCACAGAACATTGCCGCAGAGAACTACCCCTTCTGCACCATTGACCCAAACGATAGCCGCTGTGCAGTACCAGACGCGCGCTATGACTGGCTCTGTGACCTTTGGAAGCCGCCGTCCATGTGAGCAGAAATCGGCCGCGCATCTGATACTGCTGAGCACCGGGCTTGTACAGCAAGACAACGTCGCATGGTCGGCTAGAGGCGCGGCCACGATGCAGGGTGCCAGGGACCGTGTGCAGCTGTGCAGCGGCCGGCCGCCACCCGGTGCCGGCTGGCGTACCGTGCCTGTAGATGCGATCTCCATCCTGTCCTTGCGGCGCCTGCCTGTGCGCGCCCACAGGTCATCGGACCTCACTGTTGCGCAACTGGCCTCTGCGCCTCCTTGCACGCCGGCCCCTTTCCTCCCCCTCACTTCACTTACATACATCCCGCCCAAACCCCCCTGTTCCCCCTGTCATCCTTTTCCGCCCCTTGGCCCCTCACCCCCTGGCTTCCGGGCCTGGGCCACCCGTCCCTGCCTCCCCACACCTCAAACCCTGAACCCCCGCTCGTCCCCACCCCCCAACCCGCCATGAAGGTACCCGGCCTACCTCCACGTCACAGACATCGCCGGCCTGGTGCGCGGCGCCGCGGAGGGCGCGGGCCTGGGCAACGCTTTCCTGTCGCACGTGGCGGCGGTGGACGGGCTGTTCCACGTGGTGCGCGCCTTTGAGAGCGACGAGGTGGTCCACGGTGGGCTGGGGCACGGGGTGGGTTGGTGGGTGGTGGGTGGTGGGTGGTGGTGGCTTGTTTGTTGAGGGGGTGAACTTGGGGGGTGCAGAGCGGACTGCGTGGTGTGCGCCGGTTTTGCTGGAGGGCGTGGGGTCACGTTGTGGGCGGCTGGAATGGGATCTGCCCAGACGTGGCTGCTCATGGCACTTTGTACGCGGGCAGCAGGCAGATCGGCCAGACTACCAGCACTGCGGAGCAGCTCAGGGCACGGCGGCTGCCAGGTCTTGCCTGCATGGACGGGGCCGCCAGCCCCCTCTGGCCCTCTGACTTTCATGCCATGCCCTATAACATGTGTCCAACCCCCATCAGTGGACGACAGCGTGGACCCCGTGAGGGACCTGGACACCATCCAGGTGGGTCGAATCATTGATCATGACCCACGCCGAGGGGCCGCTGCCTGTTTGCTGCAGCCAGCTCGAGACAGACCCGGGGTGGAGGGCAGCTTGGCACTTTGAGCACTTTCAGGCTTGCCCGGAGGCCTGCTTGTCAAGGCCGACGCGGAGCCCTCAGCTTCAGGGTGCTTTCTCCCCGCTGCCTTGCCGCGGCCGGCCAACTTTCGGCATCTACCTCACGCCCAGCAATGCGCCCGCAACCGACCATCTAACCAAGCGGCTGCTTAACCATCCAGCCACCCAAATACCCAGCCACCCAACCACCCGCCCCGACCAACCCAACCGGCCTCCAGATGGAGCTGTGCAAGAAGGACCTGGATTACGTGGGCCGCATGGAGGACGACGCCCTGAAGGACGTCAAGAAGACACCCAACATGAAGCTGCCCCTCCACTTCTACTCCACCTTTGAGAAGGTGCGCGCACACGTGCGCGGATGCATGGGTGTGTGGGGGTGGGGGGTGGGTGAAGCGGGGCCGGCAGTAAGCTGGGAGGCGGGGGGCCCTGATCTCGAAGCGCTCTGGCCCAAGGGTTGCCAGCAGGCCGCCGTCTTAAATGGGGCGGGCCGCGCCTCTGCCTGCCTTTCACCACTCGGCTGAGCGCTTGTGCCCCGTGCCACATCGCGCCGCAGCTCCCTCGACTCCTTCGCACCCCCTGTCTTCGTCTCGTCTGACCAACTCTGCCCCTCGTACCCCTCCTGGCCTCCCTCCGCCCTGCCCCCGCTCACGCGTTCCCCCCCTGGGCCCCTGTTGAAAGGTGAGGGAGCTGCTCAAGGCGAACAAGCCAGTGCGTGACGCCGAGTGGACCGCCAAGGAGGTCGAGCTGATCATGGAGAAGATGCCCGCGGTGAGGCGCGCCGCGCGGCCCCCGCCGCTGGCCTGGCGGATCCACTTGGACTGGCCGGCGCATACGACGCGAGGTATTGGCTCTGTCGAGACCTCCGGCGTGCTCGTTCCCAACGTCTTTCCGCGGCCGAGGATCAGATTGCATGCCTGGGTCATGCTGCGAGGCAGGTGTGGTGTCGAGCGGAGATCGCGAGCCTCAGCGCCTCTTGACCCACGCTGTATGTGTCCCACGGCGCCGCCGCCGCAGCTGCTGACGGCCAAGCCCGTGGTGTACCTGGTCAACATGAGCGCGGCGGACTTCCAGCGCAAGAAGAACAAGCACCTGCCCAAGATCCACCAGTGGGTCCAGGTGGGCGGCTCGCAGGTCGCGGCGCGCCCGACGCGCCCGCACGCGGGCGCACGCCGCGCACGGTACGCCTGTTGCAAACGTCATACGGGGTGCTTGTTTTTCAAACTGGTTGCAGAGTGGCCCTGACTGACCACCAACAACCAAGACCAGAGTATCGGGCAAGAGTGGAGCGGAAGCCACGGCCCGTCCGTCGCCCCACCCCCACCCCCACCC